TGACGTATTTCTATTTGTTTGAAATATATTCCTAAATTTTATCATACAATAATTGAAATCGGAATTTTGTGATAGCCCGAAAACTCCCCACTTTACCAGTCTTTAGAAAAACAAAACCTTTTAAAACCCACTTATTTTCCTGCAATAAAATTAGAAAAATAAATTTTTAAAAAAAAATTATGCGAAAAAATTTTTTAATTGGGCTTTGAAACAAAAAATATTTGCATTTTTTTTTTACAAAAATGTATCTTTTTTCGTTTAATGCAAAGTTTTGAAAAGGGGGCTGGGGTTTTCCCTTTAGGGTTTTTTACAGTTTAAATTCTGATTTTTTTCATTAGGACAACGGACAGAAAAATTTTGTTGACGCTAAAACAGTTACAGTTTTTTGTCATTACATTTTACATTATATAACAAACATATATTTGTTCAAGTGATCAAATAAATATAAAACAATTTAATTACCATTTTTATTCACAAAAAAATAAATACAATATTTCAAGAGGATGAAATCAGCGAATCACATTTTCTAGTTTAATAAGACATTTTTTGTTGTTTTCAAATTATTTAATTTTCAGTTTAAAGTCTTTCTTAAAAATTAAATGAGTCACATATAATTTTTTCCCAGATTTACAACCCGTAACACCCAATTGGTCACATTTTAAAAAGCTGTATAAACTTCATACATTTTGGCCTTTTTATAAGAATTGGCTTTAATGGGAATTGTTTCCTTATATTAACGTAAAAAGGCTCTCGGTGTAGCGATAACAGTTAATGAAAAAAAAACTGAAAAGAATGAAATATTCTTGTATTTATATTAATTTTTATAGGAAAAAAAAACGGGACCGAGATCTACTTTCGAATTTAATTGCCAGGTATTTGCCAAAAAGGGGGTTGTCGAATAAAACCGGGGTCGGAACTGTACTATTTTGATATAATTAATATAACTCATAAGTTTGTAATTAAAATAATGTCCCAATTTGAAAAGCAATGGGTAGTTTTTCAAAAATTTTATTGCGTGTGGGGGGTTTTTTTTTTTCTTTCCTTTTTGTGTTTAAAAGTGGGGGCGGTTTGACAAATCGTTTCATTTATAGTTTTTAGGGAAAAATATCCTTATTTTCAATCAATTATTTGTTTCAAAATGGTTTTTTGGGCTTTTCCCCCTTTTTTATTCAATACTATTGCGGGCCCCTTTTAAAAAAATCTCACTAAAGAATTTTGTTTTAAAAAAAAATGCGGTTTATTTCTCAAATATATTTTTTAAGTACAAATTTAAGTATTTTATGCAGGCACTTAAAGTTTTCTTATTTTAACCCCAAAAGACTCCCAAATTTTAAAGAAAAGGAAAAAGGGACAAAAGGGGGTAAACATAAACTAATATGTCCTTTCCCCCTTTTAAAAATTTTCACAGTTATTTTTTTGTTGGTTTAATAAAAGCCATTAAGGGAGTTTAAAACATTGGGGAGTAAATAAAAGAAAATATTTTAATTAAAAATTTAATTTTAAAAGAAAAACCCTAAAAATTTTTTAAAAACAAAAAAGTTTTTGTTTTTCCTAATATTTTTAAAAATTTGTGGTTTTTTTATAATTTTTTTAGTTTTTTAATTTAAGGGGGTAAAGGGTTTATAATAAAAAAAAACTTTAAAAATATGGGTAACCCAGTTAAAGGTTACGTCCTAAAAGAAAACTCAAAACCCTTTACAAAAAATTTTTTTATAAATTTTTTGCCCCCCAAAAAGGGGTTTTTGTTTTACTTTGGTTCCCCCCCCTTGTTTAAAAGGTTTTTATTTTAATCAGAATATTAAATTTAAAGGCAAAAGGGGAATTTCAACAAAGAACCCCTATTATTTTTAACAACAATAAAATTATTTAACTTTCCACCTAAAAAAGAAATTAAACTTAGGAACCTTTTAATTTTATTAATTTTGGTCCATTTCCTTAGGAAAAGAGGGGTAAGGGGGAAAAAATATTGCCCCTTTTTTTGGGTAAAAACTTTCCTCAAAAATTCCCTTCCCCCCGGGGGTTAAAAATTTTGGATTTCGATCCGTAATAACCCCCAAAGGGGATTTTCCCGGGGTTTTAAGGAAGGAAGGAAACCTTTGGTAAAAAAGGTTTTGATTTAAATTTTAAAAAACCCTTACCAGGAACCCTTTCAAACTTGTTATGGATTTGGCCCTGGAATCAAAGGTAAAATGGCCCCTATTTATTTTTGGGGCAAAGGGGTCCAAACAAGGTTTAAAATTTACCCCTTTAAAAGGTTTAAAAAGCTTTTCCCAAAAATAAAAAAAGCCCTTTTTGGTTTTGGGTTCCTAAATTTTACTTATTTATGAAAGAAATCCTTAATTTTTCAAGGAATTCCCTTTTTTAAACCCCTTTGGAAAAATGGGTTTTGTCCAAAATAAAAAAACCCAAGGTTAGGGAACCCAAATTGGAGGTAAAAATTTAACTTGATATTTTTATTTTTGACTTCTTGAAGATTCTCCAAGTTTTTCCTTTTAAAATTTTTAATTTTGGGATATTAAAACAATTTTATTTTTCAATATTTTTTTAATTTAAAAGGTTACTTTTGGAAAATTTATTTGAAGAAATTTTAAACTTTGTATTTTTGGTTTTTTGAATTTTTTTTAAATTTTTGGTTTTTAATTTTTTTTCCAAATTTATTTTTTTGTTTAAAAGTATTGGGAATTAAATTTTTTATTGCGGAAATTTTTTTTATAAAGGGGTTTATTTATTAAAAATGAAAGAAAGTTTTTTTAAATGTATTTTGATTTTTTCAAATAGGGGAAACCTTTAAATTTTTTTTTTAAACAAAAAAGTTTTTAAAAAGGTTTTTTTCCCTTTATATTGAATTTTAAATTTTTTAATTTTTTTGATAACCGGTTTTTTTTGTTTTTTAAATTTTTTTTAAAAAAAAAAAAATTTTCCTTTTTTTAAACCATTTCATTTTTTTAATTAAAGGAATTTTTAAATTTTGAAAAACCCTTGAATTAAAACCCAAAATCCCCTTTTTTGAAATTTATTGTTTTTTGAAATTTTCAAAAAAAAAAATTTCCTTTTTTTCTTTATTTTTCCAGGGTTTTTTTTAAATTTAAGACAAAATTTAAATTTTGGGGTTTAAAAGGTTTTTTTGCCGGGAAAAATTTTTTACTTAAACAAAACCCTATTTTTTAAAAATTTTTTGGATTTTAAAATTTTTTTATATGTTTAGGCTTGTTTTATCTTTTTTGGTTTTTTTCAAGGTTTAAAAATATGCCTTTTAATTGAATTTGAATTTTTGGGGGTTTTCTTTACCCAATTTCTCTGAAGGGTTTTTCCCTTTTTTTAAAACAAAAAAATTTATTTTTAAAAATTTTTTTTTTTTATTGTGGGTTTAAATTAATTTCCCCTATATTTGGTATTTTAAATTTTTTTTTTGTTGGAAAAAAATTTTTTTAAGTTTTTTAAAATTAAAAATTTTTTCACCAAAAGAAATTTTTTTACCATATTTTTTGGTTTTTTTTATTGGTTTTAAAAGGTTTAAGTTGTAAATTTTATTTTTTGTTTCGAGTTTATATAATCTTAATAAATTAAATTTTTTTTTTTTGATTTCTAAAAAGTAAATTAAAAAAGAAATTTCTAATTTAATTTTTTCCTGTGTAATTTTTTTGGGGTTTTTTTTTGGGTAATTTTTTTGCATTTTTACCCTTTTTTTTAACAATTTTAAAACAAGCTATTTTTAATGATATTACGGAGGTTAAAAATTTTGGGAGTTTTTTTTGCAGGGAAAAGGTACCTTTAGGGGGCAAACAAAAAGCACATTTTAAAGAGTAAAAATTGGTTTCCGATTTTAATTAACCCAAAAAACTTTTGGCTATGGAAAAAATTTTCAAACCTTTTTAAAGGTGATTGGGTTTTGGCCCAGCCCCGTATGACCCATTAAAAATTTTTTTTGGGTCTTCAAAGGCGGTAAACCTTTGAAGTTAAAAAGTTTGAAATAATTAAAAAAAAATTTTAAGGAATTTTTTTATTGGGTTAAAACCCCAATTTACCCTAATTGGATTTTCAAAAAAGGGGTCCAAATGTCAAAGGGTTCACATTGAACCCCCTTGTAAGGTTTGAAACGGTTTCTGAAATCAATAACTAAAGGACGCTTAGGCCTAGAAACTTTCCAAACTTTTGTATTTTATGATTGGCATTGCCAGCAGATGACCTCTAAATTGATTTTTTTGGGGTCAAAGGGGGTCCAAGGTCAATGTTCACATTGACCCTTGTAGGGTAAAACGGTTTTTCCATCCGAGTTAAAACTAGAGAACCCTTATGCCTAGGGGAACTTTCAAAAACTTTGTATGATGGATTGTCCTGACCAGTAATGACCCGTTATTGATTTTGGGGTCAAGAAGGGGTCAATGTCATATTGACCCCTTGTATTAATGACAGTTTCTTGACCAATTTTACTCAAAAACTTAAGTTGGGCCTTGGTTGATATTTTTATATTAAAAAACTAAAAATGCCCCTTTTGGGATACCCCATTTTTAAGGTCTTTTGATAAAGACAACCCTTGGGCTGTCATTTAAAGAGGGCCCACATTTAAATTTATAAAAAATTTTTGCAAAATATTATTTGGTAAGATTTGTTTAAAAACCCTTTAAAAAAGCTGCACACAACCTATTGGGGGCACAATAAATTTTTTACCTTTGACTTGTCAACCAGTAGATACTAAAACCCTTATTAATTGTTTTTTTTCCTGGGGCAGAAGTCATGCTAATAACCTATCACATGACTAATTGGGTGCCCATTTGGGGGGATACATGTTTTTTTCAAACATATCTTTTTTGATTATTTGCATTGACTCCGGGCAAATTTGGTTCAATTTTTGGGAAATTTGGGGCACGGAGTTTCCTTGGTTTTTCCGGGCATTTATTAGTTCGGTATTATTAAATTTTCATGTTTTTTCTTCCATGTAAAATAAAAATATATATTTGTATTCTTCATTTTACTTGAGATGTTTCATCGAGCTAATAATCTTCCGGATAAATTGTGTTTGTAATAAGAAGAAAATCAATTTTATTATAATTTCGGTGGTTTTCAATTCCCCTCATCTTAACATCAATCTTTAAAAGTAATTTGAATTGGATATTGTTGTTCACAGTCTGCTTTCAATTTAGCCGTTATCATTGTCGACTTCTTTTAACAATTCAATAGAACTGATAAATATATTTTAACATTTTAACACAACACTTTCGGCTAAAAAGATAATACGAAAACGCCTCCATTGACTACACACACGATGATGCCCCACACAGAAACAATGGGAAGCAGCTTCGATGTTCAGATAAGACCTTCAACTGTCAACCAAGCTACAACATCTTTCAGACATTCCTCAGTACGCTCATCAACAATAACTGCTGCTTCAGTCTTAGGTAGTAAATGTTTGATTTTTTTAAATTTCAGTGAACATTGCATTTCACAGACACTCTTACCAACACCGTCTTTGTGTTGACCAACAATTTTCGATTTTCATATTACTGAAAACAACAATTTGGTCACACGAAATTCTATGATAAAAGAGATGACTTTGGTTTTGATATAATATTAAAATATCCATTTAAACATTTGGTATGGTTTATGATTGGAAGTAAAAAAAAATATTCGCCCGATTATCTCAATAAAGAGACTAATGGAGAGGAGAGAGATGGAGACGCTGGTTCAATCCCCGGACGAGACAGAAATTTCTCTATGGACTTTTCTCGTACATTGAAAGTATTTGTCAGTTATTTCTCATAGCCAGTTAAAAAATCTCAAGAAATGAGTAGTCGGGCACTGCTGACGAAGCTGGTCACTTCTGGTTAGTTTTCAAGGAGAGACGGTTACATAGATGGACCGATGAGATACAACGAAAATGTATTGTATTCGTTTCAAAACCAGAATAATAACCACACAGAAATATAATTGCAATAATATACATGTATAACTAGATATTTCTACCATAAAAATCAAGCTTACGTAAAATGTCTTGATATACTATTTATAACATTAACAAGCACTTTTGCATACAACAAAACTTACCAATCATGATATTATGGAGTTCTACCTTACGATGTTTAATTATAATTATCTTCTCCGTACTAAGTCCCTGGTGGAACAGTCTTAGATGTCGACAATGAAAGACCTGTATACATATGGTACATTGTAGGAGCAACCGTAGTCTGCATTTTAGGCATTTTACTTGTTGTTGCTACAGTCATCATTGTACGACGGTAAGTTTGTTTTTCCATTCTCTAAAATTTAATTGTATTAGAATTTCAAAATATAATTCCATTTCATTTAAAAGTTTTAGGAAGTTCTTAAAATGTGTAATAATTTATCTTTGTAAGATTCAAATACTACATATTTATTGAAAATCATTTTAGGACGAATATTGAGATAAAGATAAATTCCGATATGTTAAAAAGTAATCTGTTATTAATATTATTATCTATTATAATCTGAAATCTGGAATAAAACACACCTTTTGAGTTTTATCTCCTCTAAGCGCACGGCCACGCTTATAGCAGAGTTGATCAAACCAAAATAGTTGTTATAATGCCTGTGTTGAAACCGCCAGGGGTAGGCAGTTGTTTTCGTGAGCCAGAAACTTTAAACACATTGATTATTTCGTGTTGGCTCCAGGAACGGATTCGAAAGTGTTTCAATAAGCATAAGCATATAATTTACATCACAGTCGAATATAATGAAATGAATTTGTATAAACTACATCAAATACTGCAAATACAGAAACAAACCAACTATTTGTAAGTTGTTGGGTGGTTTGTGATGCCATGATCATAGTTTTATATATTTATTTCCTTGATTTGTGATCATTACGCGTACATATACACAATAATAAAAGGGCACTATATTAAATCTTTACATGCTATATATTTTCTTAATCACAGTAGAAGAAGATTTGCCACAGAACACACACCAGATCGTGATGATGATACTTCTGAACAAGTTCCAGAATATACTGAACTAGATATTACACAGGCAAATGCTAATCCATACTCGGCACTAAGTAAGATCTCAAACAGATATGCCAGGGACAAAATTGATTCAATGAATAGTGATGCAACTTACTTAACGCCATGTGCCTCTACAAATCCGGATGTTTCTCACGAATATATTAATATTGATGCTTAAGATACTCGTGTGAAGATTGAAGTGCAAATATCTATTGAAGATATATAATCCGTAGCACATTTTTCACGTTGATCTTATTTTTGTAAATATTTTAAATGTTCATTGATAAAAGGATAATTGTTTTTGGATGGTAAATGTGCATCAATATGAACTGATCAAAATATACATATTGAAAAAAAAAACACAAACTTCTTTAATAAATTATTACTCTTGGCAAGCAGAAATTAGAATGTCAGGATAAAGATGTTTAAAATATCTATATTTTTCTAAAGAGAAATAAAATCTCTCAGATGTGTGAAAATTATCTCCTTTTAAATTTTGTGTTTACATTGATTCAAAGAAAAGTTACAAAAAGCCAACAATTGTCAAAATGTAAATGTGTTTGAATATTACGCAACATAGTAGCTTAACTGCAGCAGTCACTTGATATACATGCACACGTTCAGCAGTTGGATTCAAAAATTTATCAAAAAATCTCAAAATGTATAGAAACATAAGATATTATGCCGGATTTTTATTGATACTTAATAAATATTTTTGACACGAACACTTAGGTTTTATTTTAATAACATATCTAAACCAAGAGTTCATCTTAATCATGGAGTAAGGGTATTATCGTCCCAATACATAAGGAAGGTGATTATGTTAAGTTATATAAACAATAAGTCTGTTCTTAATAAAAGAAACTTGCACCTTGATACTTTAAGAAACTTGCACCTTGATACTTTTCTGTACAAACTAGAACTGCCACTGTCATGGCGTCAATACTCCCCGCATACAATTTTTTCAGAATCAACAGTAGTCATTTAGAGTTCAAAGACAACCTCCCAGCCAAATCTGAGGAAGGTAAGCCAGTGCATTGCTAAGTTATGTATTCTACATGTTTATAGTGGAAAAGATCAAAGTGAACTTTACTCTTGACCTACTGACCTCAAAACTGAAACTGCCATTGAATGACTTCAATACCCCCCCCCCCATTTCATGCAGCCTTACCTGGAGGTGTTTTATGATGAATGTATGAGACCATTTGAGCAGACAAGCTAATTGTAATAAAAGCCCCTGTGACCTTGACCTTTGATCAAGTGACCTCAAAATCAATAGGGGTCATCTTATAATCTTGACTAACCTCTATGCCAAATATGAAGACTGTGGGTCAAAGAATTCTTAGGTAATTGGGCGGACAAGCTTTAATTAGCCAAGACCCTTGTGACCTTGACCTTTGACCTCAAAATATATAGGCCCTAAGGGATCATCTACTAATCATGACTAAACTCCATGCCAAATATAAAGACTATGGTTCCAAGGATTATTAAGTTATTAGGCAGAAAAGCTTTCTTCAGTCAAGGCCCCTGTGGCCTTGACCTTTGACCTGGTGACCTCAAACAATTCGGGTCATCTACTAATCATGACTAACCTGCATGCCAAATATGAAAACTTTGGGTCAAAGGAATCTTAAGTTATTGGGCGGACAAGCTTTTTGAACTCAAGGCCCCTGTGACCTTGACCTGGTGACCTCAAAATCCATAAGGGTCATCAACTAATAATGACTAACCTCCATGCCAAATATGAAGACTGTGGGTCAAAGGAATCTTAAGTTATTGGACGGACAAGAAAAAACCGACGGACGCCCGAAGGCCAGACAAGCTGATTCCAGTATTCCCCCCCTTACAACTTTGTTGTGCGGGGGTATAACAGATTTCAAACACTGATAAGTTAGCTCATCTTTTTGGTGATGAACTGGCGCCTCCATATACAAATGTGGATCTGTCCATACATAGGTTATCTCATGTTTTTCGTGATAACCTCTCACCTTGAAGCTGATAAAGTTCTGTTCATACATATTTCAAAAATAAATAAGTGATCTAATTTTCCTGGTGAAAAACTGGTGGCTCATTAAAGTTCTGTACATATTATGATATTTCAAATTGGTGGCTAGTTTTCTCCTCAATGTCATTTCTTTTTCTAATAAGATTAAGTCATGGTACTATATTCATGAGGCTTTCGGCATTACATCTAAGAACTCATTATCCAACATTGCAAAGGGCAGGCAGTCTCCTGGTATTCTAATTTCTTTTAAGTTTTGAAAAACCCAAATATTTCAATTTCTTTAGTGTTTCTGACATGAAGACACATCTACATGTATCTTTCCTTATCACTCCTGCTATTGCTGTTCTATCATACAAGCGCCTCTGTTTCCTGAAATATTTGTTTAGAAAAAGTTAATTGCAAAATTAAAATTCCATTATTTTTTTTTCGGGGTGGCGGGGGAGCGGGGGATTTAAAGCACAATTTACAGCAATTTGGTGCACCTATGTGTATGATTTTAGGCACCTTGGTACCATCAATGTTCCATAAATGAACTGGATAGCTTTCTCACATGAAAGAATCTGTAAACCCTTGCACAGCTCGAACCTACAGCAGTGAAAGGCTTAAAGGTTTAAAGTCAAGAAACTAAACCAACCTGCCACAGACACCCCAAGTATTTTATCTACATGTATATGCTAAGCAGCAATATTTACAAAATTATTTTAATTTTTAGAATGTGAGTGATTCTGATAAGCTATAGACAGCTAAGTGAAGATAAGATGATCATATATGTCAGAGTGCTTACTGTGAATATTCAATCTTTTAATGTGAATTGTCCTGAGGTGAAAAGGAAAGGAAAGCTGAATTCCTGAATATATGTTACATGTCACAATTGTTCTTGCTACCTAATTTTGTTTCTATTTTCTAGTATAAGATGATATTTAAATACACTGTAATTCTTTTTTATAAATTTGGCTTTTTGTGACAATAGTCTATCCAGTGACAGAAGCTCACTGACTAATTAAACAAGAGTCGGTTGGACCGGGTGATGCTCCTCGAATAGGTTTTGGACACAGGAAGGTATACCTCTTGTTGTGTCAGAGTAATGTCACAAACAAAGTTCAAAGTGTAAAAACAACCCAAATATTGTGCACGACACATTGTCTCAATATGGTGATCATTTTTGTGAAATAGTTGTAAAATCCGACTTCAAATAACGAAGTTATGCGCCGGACATGATTTTGCTGCAAGGTCATGTTGTGCCCTTGACCTTCAAGGTAGCGACCCAAATGTTGCATGCGACACGTCGATTAAATATGGTGATCATCTCTGTGAAATAGTTGTTAAATCCGACTTCCAGTAACGAAGTTATGAGCCGGACACCATTTTGCTGCAAGGTCATGCCGTGACCTTGACCTTCTAGGTACCAACCAAAAATGTTGCACGCGACACAATGTCTCATTGTGGTGATCATTTCTGTGAAATAGTTGTAATATCCGACTTCAAATAATGAAGTTATGTGCAAGATACAATTTTGCTGCAAGGTCATGCTATGACATTGACCTTCAAGGTAGCGAGCCAAATATTGCGCGCGACACACCATTTTAAAATGGTGATCATTTCTGTGAAATAGTTTAAAAATCTTACTAAAAATAGCGAAGTTATGGGCCGGACACGATTTTGCTGCAAGATCATGCTGTGACCTTGACCTTCAAGGTAGCGACCCAAATGTTGTGCTTGGCACGTCCTCTTAATATGATGATCAATTCTGTGAAATACTTTTAAATCCAACTTCAATAGCAAAGTTATTGGCCGGACACGATTTTGCTGCAAGGTCATTCTGTGACCTTGACCTTCAAAAAAGCTACCGACATGTTGCGCGTGACACATCTACTCAATATGGTGATCATATCTGTGAAATATTTTTAAATCCGACTTCAAATAACAAAGTTATGGACTGGACACGATTTTGCTGCAAGGTCATGCTGTGACCTTGACCTTCAAGGTAGCGACCCAAATGTTGTGCGTGACACGTCATCTTAATATGATGATCATTTCTGTGAAATATTTTTAAAATCCAAATTCAAATAACAAAGTTATGGACCGGACACGATTTTGCTGCAAGGTCATCCTGTGACCTTGACCTTCAAGGAAGCGATCCAAATGTTGCGCGCGACAAGTCGTCTCAATATGGTGATCATTTTTGAAAAAAAGTAGTTTAAAATCCGACTTCAAATAACAAAGAAATGGGCTGGACACGAATTTGCTGCAAGGTCATGCTGTGACCTTGACCTTCAAGGTAGCAACCCAAATGTTGCGCGCGACACGTTGTTTTAATATGGTGATAATTTCTGTAAAACATTTTTAAAATCCGACTTCAAATAGTGAATTTATGGACCGGACACGATTTTGCTGCAAGATCATGCTGTGACCTTGATCTTCAAGGTAGCGACCCAAATGTTGGGCGCCACACGTCGTCTCAATATGGTGATCATTTCTGTGAAATAGTTTTAAAATCCGACTTCAAATAACAAAGTTATGGGCCGGACACAAATTCGGGACGTACGTACGGACGGACAACCCTCTGACTATATGCTCCCCTGAAATTTTTCGGGGAGCATAATAAACTGTCCTGTGTCAGCTTTAAAACAAGTTAAGGAAAAAAAGCTATTGGAATATAATAATTAAGAAATATCATATACAAATACTTCCAAATAATCATGTACCTCTTCCTTAAATGCCCATGCTATAAAAAGAAACCTCTTTTCATTTATTCACTTCAAGGTTAGTCAGATTGACAGTCTCACATTTTAGCCTTTATCTCTCTTGATTTCATCCTCATTGACCCTAAAGCATCCTTAAAATCGATATCCTGCCGTTCACATTCACAATTCTGACATGTAGGCCGACCTTCTGAAACAGAAAAAAAGATAAAATATAATTATTATTAGACATACATATAGTATCCCCATAAATATGTCAGTTGATATCAAATCAATAATTTAAGCAGTGTTTGAAATTAGCAGTAGGCAGAGAGCCCGACTACTAAATTTCTCCTCGGGCTACCAACTTTTCACAGTAACAAGCCCGACCAGGCTACTGTGTTTTCAGAAGCAATATAAACAAGCAAATTCGTTGAATTTATATCCCCGCCGAGTACTGGTTATTATTAACACAACAACTGAAGACATAAGGCTTTATTTATATATTAATCATGGCATAAACAGTAATATTCTTTGAACTTGATAAATATTCAGGGCAATAACAGAGCCATAACTTTGTGTTAAATACTCTGAGTCAAAGTGGCTGACCGGAACAAGCCGACGATATGCGCATCTCTTCTTGTTATTGTAGGTTCCCATAAAGTTTCGTTGAATTCCATCCAGG